AGCTCCGAGTAGAACGCCTCACTGGTTGACACATAACTGAGTAGATATAGATCCTTAACAAGGTTCTTGTATGTAACGAGGATATTGTTTAATATTTGTTGTTTCTATACACAACCAACATAAGACTATTCCTGCTCACGACCTTATGTTATAATTTGGGTATCCTGCTTCGAGCAGCGCGAACCATTTCACTGCGCATGCGCTATGAGTGCAGTGCAGCACAGCAATTGAAACCACTTTTCACCCCAGCTGGGGTCAATTTAGTGAATCGTTTGAACTCAGATTCCGCGGGGTTTTTTCATTGCGTTATTTTTCACCTTTCTAAGTTGAATTTGCATTTTTGATAATTTGTTACTATACGTCTACACCCAAAGGTATCAGAATATGCAAAGTTGTTTTTTACGTTGCATGTAACCTTTCACATATTTAATATTTCGAAACTTCATAATGTTACCAGCCATGGTGGAGACAAACACGGAGTATTATCACAAAGTATTATTATAGCAATACAATATTGCTCACTTTGATCATGTTGTCATGGAGTTGAGATATTGAAAATCATTTATAGCTGTTCATTGTTTTGTTTGATTAGAGAACTATCATTACATGTACCACCATGAACATCACTGATCAGACACATTTGAAAGATAAGTGTATATTGTACAGTAAACTCACTAAAAACACTCACTAGATATATAATATACTAGTATAGTTATATCGAAGATTACATCAAAGATTGTTTCTCCACTAACTTGGACTTCACCACTAACTTACCATGTAGCAGAATATATAAAAGAATAACTATACTATTATTTATAATCCAAACTAGTTTGTTTGATTTGCTTCATCAATTATTATCAAATTGAACATGGTAAATGTGAAAATATTTCATCATCTATTTACTGCTGCAGAGAAAAAACCCCTCATATATGTCAGTTTAATATCCTTGATCAAATTAGGAAAATCACATCTTTTAGAAAAAAAATATGGTTTCTGTTTTTCAATCATTCGATCGAAAGCACAGGTAAAAGTGACAAAAGGCGTAGATTCTAGATCATGTTGGGATTCCGAACCCGTAGAACAGTTACTATTACCAAGATGACAGGAAACAAATATAGTAAACTCAAGCTGAAAACGTTTTCTTTGGAAACACAGAGGGGGTGTCATATCTATCTCTTGGTACTTTACCATCGATGAAGTGTTCAGAACAAATGTCTTTGAGCACGTGCATGCGTGTGTATGTGTGGCTGATTGTACTAGTCCAGACTTAAGCTGGTTGATAGTGCAAGCTCACTCAGATACCATGCCGCAGTTAAGCATGAATACCCCACTCAGACACGTCATACACCTAGCCAACCAGTCCTTGTTGTTACGCATTAATGTCGAACAGGAACCAACAAGTGCCATATTTTAACGTCTTTTGGTATGACGCGGCCGGGGATCAATATAGCCACCTTGGTCTCTCCTGGCGTACGCTGTAGCCACTACACCACGGAGGCGGTTAATTTGAGGGAGACTTACATTGAAACTTTATGCATTCCTTCATCCATCACTTCTCTCATCACTGAACTTAGTGAACTGAAGAATCTTTAGGTTGTGGATATGAAATAGTAACAAACAATGTACTATATAGAAAGTATGTATTGATATTTATATCTAATAGTGGAACATTTTACATTTGGTAATTCACGAACAATAACTGAAAATATATACTAGCCACATAAAGAAACTGTGCACACAGAACATTACTTCAGAATTGGAATACAACACAGAAAAGACGCAATGATGTAGACATTTTATAAGCTGAAGTATCGGGCCACAACAAAATGTCAAAAGAACATGAAGAATATCCGTAACGATGACGTAAGAAGTTCAAAACTGAGTAGGGGGTGACACGTCGAAGTAATAAAGTCAATAACGGGTATGACATTCATGCGCGTGAAGCACAACAGTGCATCGACGACGCATAGAGGCTACCAGATGAGCATTGAAGGCCTGGGGAATGTTTGGGACGTGGTCTGTCCAGTCTTGGCGTCGGTACTCGGGGACACCATGAACGTCGGTGGTCGGCGACGTCATTACTGTTTCCAGAACGCCTGACCAATGCAGATATCATGTTATGAAATGTGCTACAATCTGTTGTTGGCTCATGCCTGCTCGAACCATTCCAATGGCTTCATGACGTTGAGCAGATGTTAATCTTGGCGTGATGTGCATGTGACTTCTCACGTGAATTTGTGAACGTTTGAATGACCAAAGATGAAGCTTTCGACAGTGACAGCATTTTCCGAGTTTCACATGTTGTGTGCAGCAGCACAGGTTGCAGGTGCCGTAACACATTGCAAGTGCATAGGCCACCATCAATGACGTCACGTCGGCTTGCACCTGCATGAGCGTTTGATTGTCTCCAATACTTGCTATGTTCACATCTTTAGTTATATATTCTGTGTGCACAGTTTCTTTATGTGGTCAGTATATATGGCAGCTTACATTCATTTTGGTTAGTATATTTTGATTTTCACTTTGCTAAGAGCAAGTAAGTCAAAATATTAACTTGGCACCCTGTAGTATCTCCCAATTAAAGAGTTCCAAACCAAGAACGGTAACTCTGTGTTCCACAGATGATAAAGGATATGAGCGAAAAAAGAGGAAAATAAGTCCTGGGTCTTGGGGGTGGCATATTCCCATGCCATATGCATTGACCCCAGTGCAATGAAATCTGGAATTCCGTGGAAATTCTCATCCATTCTCATCTTCGGAAAGGCGAATATAGCATCGTTATCCTGCTGATATACCTGGGTTACTTAGCATATATTCATTTATTTAGGAGCAATAATTTATCTACATATGGTGAACGCAATATTTCCTTTTGTCCTCTTATTTCAATTGTAATAATTGAAAGGTTTTCCGAATTCTATTTAAAGTTTGTCCTGTTATTAAGGTCCAAAGCAATCAGTGCTCCAAAGATTCCACAACATGCGACACAACAGAAGGGGGTGCAATGCAATGCACTGCCCACCCGGAGACTGCGTGTTGGGTGGAAGCATACTGATGCAGGGCATACCCGCCTCATATCAGAACCTAAGGGAGGAGGAAAGCAATTTCTTGACGTGGACAAGACGTTCACGCTCGAACAGTTGACAGAAGAAGTGAAGGAACTATATTTCCCAAGTGGCAAAAGTCAGCTCATGGCCATAGACGGTCTTAAGTATAATTTAGAGTTTTTCAATGGCATGGGGGTGTCAGAGAAATGGATGGAATCTGAGACCCTCGACGATTACCTAAAAAAGGAAACAACGCATCCTATAAGATTTTACCTGCACACAGAGGTAACAATGTGAAATAGACTCAGTCATGTAAAAATGCAGAACATACCATGATTTTGCAAGTACCATTCACATTTCAAAATCACCTTTTAGTATCAACTTATGACTGAAATGTAAACCTGAATACTTGTGTTTGGTGTTTATTACGATAAATTAAACGTAGGTGCCAGGGCCCCTATTCTCGAAAGGATCCTTGCCCTAGCATATCCTAAATTTGCTCCTAGGGTCTAGGATAGTTGTCCTACGTTATTCTCAAAAGGTATGCTAGAGCTAGGTTATCCTAACTGAGGACAAATACTAAATTAGGTTCTGACCTGTGCTAAGTCCATCTTAGTGGAAGTCAACATGTGTGGTACTTGTTTGTTCACCAATTTTGACGTCAATCAATATGAATTGCATTTCACAGCACACAGGTTTGATGGGTTAAGTTGAGTTGTTTGTGTTTATAGTATCAATTTATCGGTAATGAATAGGCATATTTGTTGCCATACACATTCTTTAGATCTCGTTCAATTATTACCTATCCTAGCCCTTTTTAATCACAACACAGCTCTTTTCTGTCACATTGCTGTAAAATGTGAGTGTAAACACCAGCTTGATAAGTGAAGTAACTCCTGTTTATTTCCTAGGTTAATTTTCACTTTGTTAGATGATGCATAATGGGATTTGAGGTCATGATTTTCATAAAAAAGCAAATATAATGAAAATAGTTTTTGCACATATGTTAATATTTCAAACTCTGAATTATAAAGTTTAACTCCTTGTAGAATAAATAAATGTTCAAAACCTTTATAAACCATTATCGAATTATGAAATAACGATACACTTTTTCTGGAAGTAGGGTCATTAGGACAGATAGATATTAACAAATTTCAATAGATATTTTAGATATCCGAATATGAGGTGCCTCTATTTTTCTGGATACAAGAAATGAATTGTAAGTATAACGATAATGTTTCCATCTGGATCTACTAAGTGCATCAAAAGCTGTATTTCACTGCTTTCAGCTTTTTTAGTTTGATTTCTAGTCTGTCTATGTATCTTGTGAACGACATTGTAGGTGCCTTTATATATGTGATTTTCATGCAATGAATGAACGTACTATTAAGGGGAATACCCAAGTTAATTAAGGTTTGTTTTTCTATCTCACGTGCTCAAGAGGTCACTATCCCATCCAGGATCGGTAGCTCAAGTTAGCACAGGTAGAGGGTCGTTTCAAGAATGTGTCTTATCCTAAAAAACGAAGCAGCAAGATAATGATCATATCTGTGAGGAGAATTATCAGTATTTTAGCTGTAACGCCATAATAGCTTGTGCCCGACAATACCATTTGTATACCGTTGCAGCTATTCCAGATGTTGTGTATTTACTTGTGATTCACCAATGATACATAACTGGCTTTTTTCAGCTGCTGGTGCACTTTTCGATGCAATGAGTCTTACATTTTCTTTTCACAGGCAAATACTCATCGACCAAGTGAAACCTCGGAAACAGTGGTATGCATACATGTTATGATCATGATAAACAATCTAAATTGTCTTTCATGGAGCTATTCAAACAGAATAAGTGCGAAAAATACCTTGATAATGCCTGAGTTTATCTCAGCAGGATAAAGCAAACATTTTCTTTACATCCATCCAGGGGTCTGGCAACACTCAGGATTTTCATACACTTGAAAGTATGCCACGAAGGAGATCCAGTGCAAGGTATTTGATAAACCTCAATGATGTGTTTGCATCATATTAGCTATGTAATGCATATTTCAAGACAATGCATGGAAACACCACCGAAATACAGCCAATTGTTTGCTCCCTATACTCCAGGGGCACCGGTGGAGCCTCATCTACAACAACAACAGACTCCACTACCAACACCGCAGGTGTCGTCAGTTTGGTAAGTTCTGTATACTTAATCCGATTTTGAATTTAACATGATGTTTTCATAGCATAATGCATAATAATGTGAGCTCATATATCAACACGTACAGAGCAACACCGCGATTAAGTCGACACAGCTTGCTCCATCTAATCCTGTGCCTTCTGGTTGTGATACTTAGCCATCTTACCTTGGAGTATGGTTGTTTCATTTACATGTTCTTCTTCTTTCTCTATGTATTAGCTTTATATACAATCAGCATGTTTCTCACTTTGAAAACGTACTTCACCATCATTACTGATGCATTGACGAGAACCTGATTAATCAATTCGTTATGAATTCGTTTACTTTGCAACAGTGGCTAGACGTATATCAGATTTCAAACTTATTTGAAGACAGACATTTTCGTTATAGGATGCTCATGTTGGGGATGCTGCTGTAGAGGATGCTGCTGTGAATGTGCCAGTAATGGTAAGCGTCCTTGTATTGATACATATAATAGTTTTGTTTGCAGACAATGTAATTTGTATATCGTTGCAGCTATTCCAGATATTGTGTATTTACTTGTGATTCACCAATGATGCAGGAGATCCAGTGCAAGGTATGTGATAAACCTCAATGATGTGTTTGCATCATATTAGCTATGTAATGCATATTTCAAGACAATGCATGGAAACACCACCGAAATACAGCCAATTGTTTGCTCCCTATACTCCAGGGGCACCGGTGGAGCCTCATCTACAACAACAACAGACTCCACTACCAACACCGCAGGTGTCGTCAGTTTGGTAAGTTCTGTATACTTAATCCGATTTTGAATTTAACATGATGTTTTCATAGCATAATGCATAATAATGTGAGCTCATATATCAACACGTACAGAGCAACACCGCGATTAAGTCGACACAGCTTGCTCCGTCTAATTTGTGTGTTCTGTGTGTGAGACTTAGTTATTTTAACTATGATTTACTTTGCTTATTGTGTGTTTTTTTCTATTTTCTCTTCATCAGTTTAACAACCAACCACAATACGAATAACTTTCAATACATCATTTGCAATTTTACTGATACTTTGAGGAGCACTTTCTTCATGATTTCGTTGTGACTACAACTGTCACTAGAAATGCACCAAATTTCAAAAGGTTTATGTTTATGTTTGTACAAAGAGACACAAGTGTGATATGAAAGTGTCACCCCACACAAGTTTCTATATCAAAATTGCAAAATAATTCATTAATTTTATGAGTACATTGATTAGTGATACTAGTGTAAACATAAAACTGCCACTCGCCTCACAAATCAAATGAAAACATGACTGAAACATGTAGCTGTACGATATTTTCCCCCAATATCAGTACTTGTATATTGTATTATCAGTGTGATATCCCATATAGTATACAACTATTTCCATTGCAAAGGGGTTATCTATACCGAGTGTTAAAATGGTGACGGATTTTTTTCTTTAGGTATGGTATTTGTGTAATCTTTGAAAAATTAAGGTCACGTGAAATAAAGTAACAGGTTTAATATTTTGTATTACGATGTGGTTGATGTTTCGTTTCTTAGTTTCTTCTGAATATATGACTTTGGTGTACATGTTTATGTAACACTCAAGGAACGTATTCAAATATTTCAAACAGCGCCAATATCACTTATGATATTAATGTCATATCATGTACGGTTCACAGCGCACCAGGAATACGCGTAGCCGTTCGCGAGGACGAAGGTTAAGCACGAGGTACGATATATAATAATTTCCGATATACATACGTTTAAGTGATGTTTAAAGTGTCCTCCACGAACGCTCATTTTTCTGTAAGCTGCACAGAGACATTTACAAGGTGGAGCAGTAAGGGAATATAACAATATGTGGATGACCAACTTTGAGCGACGTTTCGGTGTAGGTTCTAACACCGTTATCAAGCAACTACTTCTATAGATTTCAGTGACAGAGAAGCTTACAAGTGACATTAGATATCAATGTTTTGTGAAGCATGTGATGTTTTGTTCAACTTCAGGCGTACCACACGTGGTGCAGCAACTGATACTAATGCTCGAGAGATCGATGAGGCACCAAGCATAAACGTCAGTGAGCATCCTTTGGTGAGTTAAGAACAGAAGTAAGTCTTTTGGAGATATAAATCTAAACGCATGAAAACAATTGTAGGTGTAGTACGTGTGGATAGTAATGACATATAAACAGGACAAATGGGGACGAAAATTAACCGACCGTACTAAAGAACGAGGCTATAACAACAAAATATGTTTTTACAATATGAACATATGTCAGTGTAAAAAAACTGCTGCCATGTATTATGCTTATGATATTACATTTACATCTGGAAAAACGACCAAACATAGTGGTTATTGTTTACAGAATAAGACGCTTATTGTCAATTTAGGAAGTGGCTGATGACGAGGTCATTCCCACCGACACCGGCACTCCCACAGTATCCGTCTTGGCAAGGCAGGGACAAATAGTGATCCATGACCCCGTAATGGTAAGTGACGGAGTCTTCTGTTCCTGTGAAAGGTGAGTGACTGAATGAATATGCGTTTTAAAATCGTTTCATGATATTTACATACCAATTGTATTCTACAAACCTGTGAAATCACTGAATTGGACACATTTGCAAGGTAAAATGATAGCTACACATGTAGACATGTATAGACATATTTTCAGGATAAACCTATGGTGTCAAATGACGTGGTAAGGATATAGTTCGCAAACATTTTAGATGTAATTCTTTCATTTTCTTTCGCTTTTTCTGTCGTTCGTTTGTGTAGTAACTGTATTGTTCACAGTATTCAATTCTGTGGTTGGCAGTATATGTTCCGTATGTAGCTACATTGATAAGCTCATATGTCCAATTCATATACTAAACATTTCTTTCAGGACCATGACTTTAACATGTACAAGCTTGGTCAAAATGTGAAAATGTCAAGGTGAATGGTAATATGCTATGATTCACCTCATCCCATTTTCTTAATGGAAACAAGGTGTTCTGTGTGATGATTATAGTGCCGCGTCAAGATTATGTATAGCCATTGAAGGCCTGGGGTGGTTGGGAAGACCAGTGATTAAAGCCTTAGGTCGTCACGCCGACGTTTGGGCTTCGTTTCCCCATATGTGTGCAACACCCCCGTGATATTGCAGGAATATTGCTGGAAAGTGGTATGAAACCATACTCGCTCATTCAGTACTCTCATGAATATATAACATACACAACTATTTATCAAAGTGTACTTAATCTATTTGACCTACTTAACCGTATGGCTTTTGTAAAATTCACTTTAGTTAAGCACATGAAATGTCCTTACATGCAATCCTTTGTTTCAGGATGTGGATGAGGACGAAGACGACTTGCCAGACCTTCAGCTTACTCAGCATAACGATACCAATTCAACATTCGAACAGTAATGCATAGAAATGATAAACATACCCTGAGTAACTTATAACTAGAGCGAGTGAATGACATACTGACTGAGTGAGCTTACCAACATGGTAGGCTTTTAGCAGAATAGCAGCAATAATACCTTGTGGGACACTAGAAATTGGCGACATTGTACTCGTAGTTGATTCAAACACATGGGTAAAAGTGGTGAGCGAACACTTGAACCTCTATTCTACCATACTATGACAATACAAGCTAGACACAATCTCAAGTCTGAACAAGTTCAACCAGTCGTGGTGACAGGAAGGTTTCATGAATAAAGAACGGACTAATATGAGACACGATCTCATGTACACCGCAACCCACGTGTGCCGATCAATAACACAGGCACAACATATTTACCTAAAGAATGGTTCTGCTCATGTCAGTGCTCAAATGGCTGCAAGATACCACACTTGTCACTTATAGATATGACTACTACTGGCCTTGGCCAATTGTGTTCAGAAATGGGGCTGATTAGGGATGGTGACATTTAAGCTAAATACTCCATATAACGCCAATAATTACAGTACGGTCACCAAGTTCTGTTATATGTGCAAAGTGTGCAAGATGGAACGGTTGTGAAGTTTCTTGTTCAGTTCTTGTTCACTAATCAGTATTACAGCTCTGCTTTTATCTCAATGTAGTTGAAACAACATTCTAGGTCTCATGTTCACTGGGCAACCACAGCACGTCACTACCGATAATCACCCAACCATTACGTTTCTGCGACAGGGAAGATAGTGAAGAACATAACCATTGAATATATAATATGTGTGTACGCTGTCGGTCATAATTATGGTCATATTTGTATCGCTCAGGGGAAAATGTTACTTCAAACCAGTAGTAGAAGTTAGGTGTGTGTTTTGGTTTCAAGTCACTGCATAGAACAATGTATTCTTGTATGTTTTCCATTAGGCTGACCTTACAAAGGAGATTACAAGCTTGGGCACTGGCCATGGTGAAAAGACCCAAAGTATTCTCATACAGCGAGAAAGGGTTTTAGCCACTGCTCTCAGGGCCACGACCAAACCTTCCTTTGATTTTTTGGCAAAGGTAGAAGTTGAATTTTCAAATGAAGACGTGGGGTCGGAACTTGCTGCAGATTTTGGGGGTCCAAGACGAGAGATTTTTGGGTACGTGACAATAAAAGCAGTGGTTTGATCGAATCACTTTCCTTCCTGATTTTCAGCAAATACTGGCTTTTGTTTTATTTAGAAGGCAATAGGAAACATATACACGTATGTACTTAGTAGGTTTAGGTTGTATACTGAAGTAAATGTGTGATCAAAAGACAATTACCAGTTTCATCAATTTCGCTCAAAATGCACTAGGAAATATATAGCGAGGGAAAATATAAGGGAACACCACTTTAGCGCAGTACACAATGCGATACGAAGGCTGGCGAAAAAATTCTTGAACAGAATAACGGAACCCTTTTATTAGTTCCATTATTTGCTGTGCATGGTATACTATTCAAAACTAGCAGGTTATATTTTGTTTTCATGTGAAACTACAGGAATATATACGGATAGGTTGCATTAAAAGTAAATGGTTTATGTGGGAATAACATTTCCAAAGAAATCACACCACACAGAAGTATGATGATAATTAATAACGTGACCACGGAAAACACAGAGAAGGAGTGAGTGAGTGAATATTATGGTTTTACCCGCTTTGAGCAATATTCCAGCAATATCATCGCGAGGGACACCACACATGAACTTCACATGTTGTGCCCATGCGGGGAATGGAACATTCAGCGTGACGAGTGGACGTTTTAACCACTAGGCTACCCAACCGCCACCCAGCAGGTTGGGGAGGAGGGGTATTTTCGAACTAGTATTGCCATACGGAATCGGTTGTGAAAAAAGAAGTACTGTTTTGAAACAAATGCTCAAACAAACTTGTTTGAACATTTAATAATAAAGGAAGTAACAGTTATGCAGTAGCTGTAACATGTTGCACAAACGCTGCTGTGGGTGCTGACCCTTCCCCTATTGACGTCATTGGCAAACCTCTCTCAATGAAACTGATGT